AGGGATAGCTGAACATTCCAGAGTGCTCGAATATGGGGTCAAGAAAGTTCGAGATGGACGTGAAAGTACGTAGATTGTCTGGGAATGCGCCGGGCGGCAGTGTAGCGAGGTATGGGATTTCCTCCGTCATAACTTTGGTTTGGGTTTTATTTACTTTATCTGTTATAAAAGAAGACAGCGCTATCGCTAAGCAGTTAAACAGTTCAACACTTGAGAGAGAAGAAACAACTCAACAGAATCTTCAATTACCTTCAGCTAGAAACGATCCTTGGATTTCACTAGGAACTTACAACATAAGGTAAAATAGAGTTGTGTTACTTTCCCCCTTTTTACTGGAATAGTATTTTCGTAGAGTATTGTTTACGGGTAAAGATGGCTCCTGAGTTGCCTCTTGATTTTAACACCAACCTTACAGATTTTTAATGATTATGTTATCATGATTCTTCTACAGATATCAAACGAAGAAACAAACATGTACATGCAGGAATCACTCGCTTTGCTCGTTCTTCTTCCATTACTCGGAAATTCAGGTAAATGTTTTATGAAATATTTTATTTGAACTGGTGCATCGTTTGTAACTAAGAGTAAACAAGCCGTGTTTTGAGAATTGAGTCAAACTACCAAACTGCGAGTGAACTTTGGCAAGGCAATAACATCTCCCAGTAATTAAATAGCTATGGAAGTCGATTCTGTTGACTGACAAGTGAAAAGAATTCTTGAACGTTTTTACTACAGCTTACAACCAACCTTTTGTTTGCTTCTTAGTTTGAGTTAACGACAAATTCTTCAACGGTGTTGCTAAAAATCATCCTTTTGTTTGTACCTTAGTTGAAGTTAACAACGAATTCTGTAAACCGCGTCCAACTTTGGTCGCCATCGACAACCCAGACTACAAATTCTTTCCGTACTTTGTGAAACTGCATCGATGCGGAGGATCGTGTGACAATGTACAACCTTCAGTTCAGTCATGCACTCCTCTTCAGTACAACGAAGTACCCGTCACGGTACAGGTGATTGGGACAAGCGAGACCAAAGTCATCAAGGAGAAAAATCATACACGCTGTGGCTGCGAATGCGTTATCAGCCCGGACAATTGTGACTTAGAATTTGAGGACTGGAGACCAGACATGTGCCAGTGCAAGTGTAAATACAATGACACGCCCCCAGTGCCTTGTGGGCAGGGAATGATCTGGAGCAGGAGCCACTGCAGGTGCATGTGCAATAAGGTGCCAGAGCAGTGTGGACCAAATAAGGTAAGGGAATCATTTTGCAATGATTAACGTCCTACTGTTTGTACCATATGGGTTTTTAAGGTGTTTAACTGAAGGAGGTCCCTCACAGTTTGCGCATCTTGGAAAGTTTGGCTAAATTTTTCAAGTTCGTCGTTTGTAATCCGTGCCAATCTTCTCCATCTTTAAGCATCCTTGTTCCTTTATGGTTTATTATTATCTCATTGGTGTTTTTCTATCTTAATAACATATTATTTTCGGGTTTCCTTTAATTTGAAAGTAGTTTTACACGCCGCCAAAATGACTCAAAATACCGTGACTGAACTCTAGATCAAACTCAAATAGCAAACCAATAACGATAACATTTTCTACTCGCATTGTCGCAGAATATAGAAGGTTTATAACTTACTGCCTGATCTAGACATACACTCTCAATCTCTCAATTGTAAACATACAGGGGTCTTGGTAGGAAAGTAACTGTAAGGAAAACTGGAACGCTTGCTGCGCTAAGACAGAAGGAGTTGTCTGTTTTTCTTCAGTTATAGAACTAGAGTAGGTCGCTAGTCGAATGATCAAATCATTGAGATGCTTAATTCATTTCCTGTTATGTTCCAGGTATGGAGTTCCAAAGCTTGTGGCTGTGTTTGCAAGGAAAGAAGATACCGGAATTGCGCGCGAAGACAAAAGTTTGTTGACGAGGAAACGTGTATGTGCACTAACGTAATGCAGGGACCGGAAACAAATCAAGTATCAAATCCAAAACCCCAACAGAAAGGTAACTATATAGAGCTTTTCATTGGATCAGTGATGCGAGATATAAATTTTGCTTCTACGTTGCAGTGTTTGTCAAAATTACACCCAAGCAACCATGAAACTGCTATTTAAGTTCCGACACAAATGTTTTCCCAGATTCTATTGAGAAAATTAAGGACACTGAAATTTATCAATGTACAACGCAGGAACTGATGCATTAATGGTGATGTAATGGTGTTTATTTAATTATTTTTCAGGTGGATTACCTCAGGAATTCTATGTAGTCATGTTTCTTGGACAGTTTGTCCTCATGTATTTGGTGTTTGATGCCATCCTGTACCGCAAGAAAGCTGGATTGATTTATCGTGTCACAAGGAGTTGTTCAACGAAAGGTACAGTAAATTGAAAATGCAGTTTTTATAGTGTTTTCACTCACGTGGCCAGTAGCCATACAAGTTTAATGGAACAAAAAGAAATGTTTACATAAGAAATGTAGGCCCCATTAGTATTTTTCTCATTTTCTGATCTAGATTAAATTTGGCCGTTGAAAATGACTTTCTTATGAAGAATTTGCGTCTTTAAACTTAATTACCAGCCTTCGTTTTCAAGATGGCTGTTATTCCTTCATACAGAAGGCTTAACCTGGCTGAAATCAATATTACAGAACATCATACATAAAACCAACAACAACAACAACAAACACTAGAGACAACTTCAACAACAACAAAATGCGAACGTTTTCTTGATTCTCTGTAAGTACTTGTTAAGCAAAATGTTCTGGATCATACATGCCATTTTCAAAGGCGAACCTCTAACGGAAATTGTTTCTCTTTTCACCAGGTAATCATTCAAACATTGACAGTTCAAGAGAAGATATTTTTAGCGATTCAAGCCGCTCATCTACAGTGATCACAGATCTACCCACAGAAACGGGAGAAAACAACATGGCCGCCGCGCATGCGTGAAACTATTGTAATTCAGACTTGCTGACGTAACAGCAAACCCGTGTCCTGTCCTTAAGGATACTAGCAATAGCAGTGTAAGATGTTTTCTAGTTGCCCGACACCGTGAGCTGAAAGTTTAATTTTTAAATTTACGGCTATGAGAAGTGTACAAAGTCATTGTTTCCGAGATCAATAACCTCGAGAAAAGTTATTTAATATATATTTATTTATTTATATCAGTGAGCGTTATTTAAGTAGGATGCTGCCTGCATGAAATGTTGGAGAAACTTGATTATTTATTGTAAAAGTTATTTATGACTTTGAAAAGAGGATACAAAATAAATACGATCTATGTGACTGCTTGACGTTAATTTAATGTTGTTAACCGGGAAGCAAGTCCGAGGAAAGGCAATACGACGTGTAACAAATTAAACACAACTATTTATCCTCAATTCCGCCATTTTTTTTTTTAACTTTTCATGAAGCTATGCTTACGCGCCGACCACTAACGCTCGAGGGTGGGGAGCTCCTATATGGCTTATGGGGTATAAATCAAGGATTCTGGTCTCATTTACGGTGTTCATGGCGAAACGCCACTATTTTTAGCTGGCAAAGTATCTTTTAGGGTGCAATCGGGGAAATAATAATAAAAAACGCTCTTATTTCTGTTTTTAAGCTCGATTTCCGCCGCTCTCTCCAGTCCGGTCTACTAGCGCGGGCTCCTTCCCTGAACAGCGGCTGCTAATCAAGCCTATTCCGTTTTAAGTGGTATCTTTTAGGGGTCAAATAAAGCTCAAGCCACACCCAGATTGGTCTCCTCTACGGGTTTAATTCAAATTTTCCGACGAGCATCCCTGACCTTTTCATATGGGAGTCCCCCCGGACACTACTGTCCCTTATATTACAACTTAGAATACAATCTTGAAATGAAGCTTCTCAGTCATGGAATGACAAACATCTTTCTTAATGTTAGTCGAAAGAATTTGTTACTGCATCAAGAGTAAACAATTCAACTCGCAGATGTTTTTCTTACGCCCACTGCTTTACCCCCACGAATACTGCGATCTATCAAGAGTCCATCACTAGGAGTGTGCAACTCCCATACTAAGCCTATGTCACGGCATTTTCACAGACCGATCTATTTTTGGGCTTCTTTTCCCGCGAAATAGGTCAGTTCCGGTCTTCGTGAGTGCGCATCAATAAGCAAAAAAGTGTTGTTTTTCTTTTGAAGGTGCTTCGCTGGTGCTACGTCACGGTTTGTGCATATTGAAAAGCTTAGCCACAATTTTTCAAATTCGTCGTTTGCAATCCGTGTTAACCTTCTCCATCCTTAGCATCCTTGTTCCTTTATGGTTTATCATTATTTCTTTGGTGTTTTTCTATCTTATTAAATTGCTATTTTCAGGTTTCCTTCAATTTAAAGGTAATTTTGTATGCGGCCAAAATAACTCAAAATATCGTGACTGAGCTCCTTTAAATCTTCCGGTGAAATGACGACGTCAGTTAAAAATCCATGCTTGTGACTGGTCACTGAGCTGGTTTCTGCGATGGTCTGAATTCGAGGTAAATTCAAACTCAAAATATATCGTTCTGTGACGGGAATGTGTGGTAGCTGCACGATCCTGGTAATGGGCTCCTGGATGTTTTGATCATGTTTAAGATTTTAATTTTAATGTTTAATAATTATTGACCTTGAGAAATGATCATCCTACAAACTGGAACAAATCTCTGACTCAATTTTTTTACGCTGCATTTTGAATAGATCTTTTCACTGTTAATTTTTCAGAGAAAAATTAACAGTCCCCCTGGTTGTAGGCTAATCTATCTTTAAATCAAGAAATACACCCGGGAATTGGGCCCCCCTCAAGCTTTCCTTGTTTTGAATTCGTTTTACTATGACGTTTTAAAGCTTAACCAGTAAATGAAAAACCTATTCATCAACACATCTTTAGCTCGTTTCGAAACGGTTTCCGGTTATAAGCCCCCTCGGATATAGCTCCCCCCCTCCCTCAGTTGTATAACCTTGGGCTTATAAGCGATTTACGGTATGCATTATAATAAAATGCAACGTGGACGTAAGGCAATCAGTTCGGGCAGGAACTTCAAAATTGTCCGGAATTACCTCACATGTATAACCCTGGGTTTATAAGCGATTTACGGTATGCATTATAATAAAATCCAACGTGGATGCAAGGCAGTTTCGGGCAAAACTTCAAAATTGTCCGGAATTACCTCACATGCATTCACGTTGGATTACATTGCAGTACAAAAATAACCTCGAGCGATATTCAAGACTGATTCACAATGAAGAACATTTCTTCCTTTTCAACTTCAACTGGGAAAGTTTATATCTAAAAGAAACCCGTAGGATTGTCGTCATGTTTCAGTAAAGAGCAAATTATTTACCATATACGGCGAGCCAAAAGAAATTTATCAAAGGGGAATATTGACAAACAAAGAAACGAAAATTGGAATAAGGCGAACACATTGATAAAAAGAAAAGTTTGGTAGAACATTTGTCAAAAAGTCATCATCAAAGGGCTGAAAAGGAATACAATTAATATTTGAATTGACCGCAATCTTCGCTGATTTTCACTAACAACGACGGGGATTTTTTACGGATTATCTGACGCTTAAATTTATTTCAAGTTGCTTCAGACGTCCTTTGGGAATTTTGTCATCCGGTTCTTCACTGCACTGGAGAGACAAAAATGAACTTATTAAACACCCATGTACGTTTTTTATGAATCCTAGCAACATGACTAGCAGCCAATATTGTTAGTTTGGGTCAACTAATACAAAATGTATTAGCCTCAACTACAATATTGTAATTTAGTTTCCTTGTTTCAGTGGCACTAATCAATCTTGATGTTTGTGCGTCATGGGGAAACCCCACTTTTTACTGAAGCCAATTTCTTCCAATATTGACCTTCAAGTGAACTCAATCCATAGATGGGAATAGACTAATGAGCAAATTTATTTTTAACTTGACCTGTCCAGCAATTTCCTGTACCATTGCAGGCCAACTCTAAAGCTAAGCCATAAAATATGTCAGTTTAAAAATAGAAGGCTTCTGGAACAGTATAAATATTTTTGCTGTGAAGTGAACTGTTAGTTGATTTAGAGACTGGTATTTGAGGTGGACAAGGTCATTCAGTTCATATTATTTTATGTTTATGTGTGAACTCAAAAGGTAAGCTCAATGTAAAATCCACTATTTTTTTAGTTAGTTTTTAGTGTAGTATCTAGCACAGTGTGTTGAAGAATGCCTAAAGGGTCGTTAGCTGAGAACAAGATCAGAGGAAAAAAATTAACCCTGAAAAATGAGGTAACGACACTGAAGCTATTCGAAAGCGTGAGGTCCATCGATTTTCCTTTTTTCCATTTTTTTTATACTTTATAATCAGTATCATATCAGTTCATTCGCCATTTTGTTGTTTTGGCGGGAAAAATTTCTGATGAGGGTGGACAGAAGCCACTAAAAATTTAGAGAAGAAAACAACCTTAGAGAATTGAATGTTCTTACCGATCACAACAGTCTCTTTAAAATTTAGTGTTGCCGGGTAAAATATATATCAGAGTAAAAATCCGTGTTGCATTCCAGTACACGCACTCTTGACGAATTTTTCTATCGATCGGTTCAGTTTCATAGTGTAACTCACAATCTGTTTCCAGTCACTATACACTAATGCATGGATTAATTGATTAATTTCACACATTGAATGGTCCCAATACCATTATTACTTTCACCACCTTCAAAGCCTCGTCAAAACTACGCCGGAGAAATTTGAAGACGGCGTTTTCAATCTGTAAACGCATCAAATTTTTCCGTCTACACTACGCTGGAGAAATTTGAAAACGTAACAATCACCGGCCATTTTATTTTTGTGTTTGAGGAAAACTCGAGCAGGGAAAACAAATTATATGATTATCGTGATGTAATCTTTTTCGAAAAGCTCCGTTTTCAAAATGTTTTCCGTCCACACTGAAACGCGAAGCCAGCGTTTTCAAATTCCTCCGGTTTGAAGAGCGTTTTAGAAAAACTCCGTTTTTGTGACGGATTAGCGTGGACGGTAGCCCTAACCGTAGAAATAAAGCTGCGTTTTCAAATTTCTCCGGCGTAATTTGGACGGGACTTAAAACACGCGCAAACAACGAAACTTGTGTCACTAGTCGAGTTGACGATGTGTTTGTTTTGAAACATAAGGCTGAAGAATACACTTGAGATCGATGTCCTTCAGACGGTCTGACATTTTGTGCCAAAGCTAGGTAGATTTAACGAACCCTTTTAATTTCAGTGGATTATAAATTACTTAAGTTGTGCTGTCAATTTATATCGTAAAAATGGCAAGTAATTAACAATAGATAACAGCTCTAAGTGAGAAAAAAACTATTTAATCTGCCTGTGAAACGACAAGGATTTCCTCTTGCGGGGGATTTTTTGCGGACTGTAATTGTAAGTAGAGATAAGTAATTGTTTAGATCGATTTACTGAACCGTGGGTATAAGCTCTTTACCTGCGGTGAGTCTGAAATCGGAAGCTACACAAACATATCTCGCGATAAGAAAATCACGAGAGATTTGTTACGATTACGCGGCGTTATAATAAACATGTAAGCCGATTTCTATCAGTGATCAGTTTTCTTTCAACCAAAAATAGGCGTCTTTTTTATTAGGGGATCTTTCTTTTCACAATTGTTTATGATTGCAGTGGCAAGAAATCTAAGTCTGAAATGACGATTTCGAAACCAGGCGATTGAGTAACGAATGATTTAGTGATAATTACCCTAGTTTAACAGGGCGGTACGTAATTAGCGAGGAATGTCTCCAGTGTATTTAAAATTCAAGTACAGTTACAGCTATGTAACTGTTAAACAATGTAACTAATTACTAAGTTACCAGAACTTT